GCAGTAAGAATAAGTAGTCGTATTAATGATTAGAGGTAGTAGTAGTAGTAGTAGCAGTAGTAGTAGTAGCAGTAGTAGTAGTAGTAGTAGTAGTAGTAGTAGTAGTAGTAGAAGTATTAGTAGTAGTAGTAGTAGCAGTAGCAGTAGCAGCGGCAGTAGTAGCAGGAATCGGAGGAGAGGCAGTAGCTTGAGCAGTCGCCGCCGCTGTGGCAGCGGCGGGAGCAGTGGCCTTGGCAGCGGTGGCCGTCAGCAAGCCGCTGCTGCTGGGGTGGCAGCTGCGGCGAAGCCAGACCCCAAATCATCCATTCAGCCAACTTACGGGGCACGTCGGGCAACGACGCATGCATGTAGCTGCAATGTAGCTGTACTGAAGGTGTTGGGTCTCCAGACATATAATGGCTAACTCGCTCCACAAATGGCAACTCGCTGCGCAGCATCCAAAATCATCCAAAGTTTAAACAAGCAGTGTGTTCAGCAACATTGCCGTGGGAGTGTCCCGGCACGTGTGCTGGCAAGAGCACGGGCATAGAGCACGGAGGGCAGCTGGAAGTGCTGACAAAGGGAGGACATGGATGTCCAAGGCATGAGGAGTCCACGTCCGTCCTGTCTTTGCGTTCAGACTCCGCACATCGACATTTCAATGTCACAGCGGCGAAAAGCAGCTTGGCCAGCGACTCCTCGCCCAAAACTACTGATTTCTAAGTTCAAACCCTGACTTCTTCGGCTTCGGCCCTGAACCACTCGGCTTCGGCCTCGGCCTTCTTGGCCCATTTCAGACTCGTGAACTGTCGCAGCCTTACTTTCACCTCCTCCATCGCAGAGATGCAAGTTCGCCGAAATTCCACCATAGACAAAGAAGTACATGCCGATGTGGTTACCCAGGCACGAATTCAATGGTGCCTGCCGGATTCGAATGCAATGCCCACGTTGAGAAAACTTCGCGCTTCTGCGGCGAAGGCTGCGACTTCCTCTTTGACCAACACTGCTGCCGGCGCAGAGGCTTGCTCAGCCTCTTGTTGTGTCTTTAATTCTTATTCCTCAAGCCAACCCTGAAACGTGCAAACGAAATGCAACAGACGAGCCCTCCACGAGTTGGGAAAGCTAAGCTCCATGCCAAGTTGAAGCCTCCTGACATGGTCTGGCCTTTCAATGCACCGAGCTCCAGCAATGTGCAAGCATGCACCGGCAGGAGCTGAGTCGAGCACAAGATCGACGGGCTTCAAAACCGCTTACCTGGGCTCCAAATCGGCCGGCGAGAATGTGCAACACCCAAGAACTCACAAAAGAGACCTCTCACTGCGAGGACCCAGCATCGGTGTGAGAGCTTGCAAACACGAAGCGTAACTTGGAAACGTTACAAGGTACGACAAGCACCCCAAGCCGAACGGTCAATGGAGCGAAGCATGCAACTACCAGACTCAGACATTGTCAGCATGATAGTGCCAATGTCAGCTCACGGTATACCAATCCAATCACTCGCACGCCAGTCGTGAAACAGGCGGCCGTTTAAGAGCTACCGCGCCAGCGAAAAAAACTCTCTGCATCTTTTCACGAAAAGATTCTCAAGTCACCCTGCAAGAGAGCAATTCACCCGAATCCTAGCCGTCAGCACTAACATGATCATCAAGGCACTTCTCAAAGAGCTGGAATCGCTGTCGCCAGTGCTCACGGGATCTCCTGGAGGTCGTCGCCCACTTATCGGACATTCAAGTTATAATGCGATTCCACATGAACCGCCGACGGTCCTGGCTCTGGAAGTGCATATCCGGCCAGCCTCGAAAAAAGCAAGCTTTCTGAGAAATGCACGAGTGGAGTCGTCATATTCACGATATCATGAAATGCACAAACTTGCAAGTGCCCGAACAGGCGAAAGGTCGGACAAGAGGAGTGGATGCATATTGATTACAGAAACGACAATGACACACCGATGCAATTCTAGTCTCCGCATTCACGGCGCGGGCGAAGCAACAGTTTTTCTTCGAATTGCACCGCTTCCATGCGCTCCATTATGTAGTCGAACGTGCCACGCACCCGGCCAAGCCATCGGAACTCACCTCGAAGGACCTGCAACATCTGCACGTCTGAAGTCGACCGAAAAAGCAGGCAGCAAACAATAAGTCTCAGAAGGAAACTGCACGTCCATCAGGAAGCTCGTCTAGCTGACCAGCCTCGGCATTGACGCTTTTGAAAGAGAACAGCATGCGCGATACCGCTGCCGCAGACAACAAAGCCCGCAGCATAGTGATATGCACCAGGCACCTGCATCCATTATCAACCATTTTTCACAAAGTGTCACCATGCTAGACTGTGAGCTTGCCTCTGCAATTTTTTCTTTCCATGCCAGGCACCACTTTCGCTTGCCACCAAGCGCCACGATGTCTGCACAAAGGTTTCCCTCCAGGTGCATAGGATAACAAAACGACGTCTGACTTTGCTGTGAAGGAACAAAGAATTTTCTCGCAAAGGGGACACAACACATCACGAATGCTTCAAACGGTCAACCTGGCCTGCCATACGCCGTGAAGGATGGTGCGATGGCCGCCCGAATCCTTCACCGAGACAGCTGCTCTTGGTGCATGAAGCTCCTTCTAAGACTCACTCGACAATGCTCTGCCTGTCTTCGATGCACCGCCTGTCCCTGCATGGCCAGGCTGCCACCTCATCTCTGAAGCCGGACAATCAAGCTTAACTTCACCTTTGGGAAATCCTTGCGCCCAGGCTGGAGAAATTGCAATCTGCTTCGGTTGCCATTTCCCCTTTGTTATCACGGACCTGCACAGAGAAACGAGCAGCATGCGCTCAATCCCTGGCTCGCAAGAGGATCCGGCCGTACCAATGAGATGCCAGACGCTGGAAACGACCCGAAGATCCTTGGCGCGATCCCGTGCACCCCGTCTATGCTTTCCTCCTAGCTTTGGCTAGGAAACTGGCAACGCGGCGGGCTTGAGCACGTGAACTGCAAGAAGCCCTCCAGGAAGCATGCACCTAACCGAGACCAAGCGCGAAGTAGTCTGGGAGCCTGCGACTGCGACGAATGGTAGGGCCCGTGCTTGCCGGAGTTCAAACAAAGATCCTAGCCATCGGTAGGAGAATACCTGGAGTTGCACGCGCGAAAGTAGATCAAAAAAGGAACCCGAATCGCAACAGCTACCCTGTTTTATGTACTCTCTCGGGAGATTCAACGAAGCTCACCGACAGTGGTGACGAAAACAACATCATCAATCATCACAGATCCCGACAACCGCAGTCTCTTCCAACCCTGCCTGGCGCCAGCAAGCCTCTGACGACTCCTTAGAAGGAGCAGCACTGCACACAAATCGGAACATCTATGCAGACGGAGGGCCCGCAAAATTCAATGAAGATCACTGAGCCCATGGCAGCCCAACCACGACAAACTATCGAGGCAGAGCCCAACGCTGGAAGATCCAAACCTTTGTCTTTCAATGGACTGCAAACAATCTATCTCGGCTCGTGGTGCTTTGAAAAGATGCTGAGGGGCCAACACACCAGCATCTGTGGCAGGGCATCGCCCAACGTACGAGTTACATCGGCCATCGCCACGCAAAGACCACCGCTTCACATGCCGGGGGCCGAATGATCACAACTAGCTGCTCGCTTGCTGATACATGCACTCACCATTCGACGCTTATAATTGTCAAATGTCTTAAGCTGGATGCTTCCATGCAGCCAGACACGCCGATGTCACCAAGGCGAGCACACCAGCAGCAATCACACCAGCAAACAACGTGTTTTACCGTGTAGAAGCAGCAACAAATGTGAAGGCGTCAAACTCTGAGCTCCTGGCGCAGCGTCGTCGAAGCCGTAGCTTCGAAACAAACACATGGCCACGGCAGCACAACCGTGCCTCTCAACATCCTCTAAATGGCTTTCGAGGCTTTAGCGAGTTCCTTGTAAGGTCGTGTTTCGGTTCACTTTTTTAGCTGATCTTACTCGCAGGCACAGTGGCAGTGGTGATTTGCTTGGATCTATGGCATCCATGGGCTGAATTGCAACTCGAAATACTTGTTGACACTCGGTACGACGCAAGCTCAAGGCTAACTTCAAAAAAAAAAAACACGGATTCTCACATCTGCAAAAGCATGCAAGACTGTTGCTTGAACTGAAAAACTAGAAGACTTGCACTGCTCTAGCACTAGACTCTCTCCTTTTTTCAACGTGTTGCATCTGCTGGGCCAAGCAGCTCACCGAAGGGGCCTGAACCTCGAAGCTGAAGCCAAAAAAGCTAAATAATCTTCCCCGACTAAATTTTCTGAAATCGTCATGAAACCGAGTGCAGGCGGGCCATCACCGAGAGCCGAAAGCGCAATTCATGCTGCTGAGCCATTTTGGCTACTTGTGTGCCAAGGCAAGAATAAAGCCCGCAGAAGCTGTTAAGGCCGTGGACACCAGATTTGAGGACGCTCTAAAAAACGAACAACGCGCGGATCTGCTGCTGTAGGCGCTTGCCGTGCCGCAGCTCCGCATCTGTGAAACGCTTGCGTAGATGAGCGTTTGCCTGGCTTGAACTTGGTTTTCCGCCTTCGGGTTAGAGTTTGGAAGAAGGGCTTACCTGCCCGTAAAACTTTTTCCACAACTTAAACCTCACCCTCTGAACCAAAAACCACCGTTTTTGTCAAACCTAAACCTAAAAACCTTTAACAAACCCAATCTAAATCAAACTTGAATCCAAAAATCTCAGCTCTGAAACTTTTGGATGAGAGTGCACGGCCAAAAAAAAGAAGATTTAAAACACTTCCAGAAAGATGAGTCATGTTAAAAGCTGTACCACTGCTTTCACTTCAAGCACTTTTTTTCGACACGTTGCATCTGCAAAGCTGAAAATCGGAGACCTTGGACAGACTTTGTGAGAATCGGAACTCAATGTGACACCAAAAGATCCGCTTCCAATCTAACTGGGCTCAGCTTTACACAAGGCAGCAGAACTTTGCTTTCAGGCAAAGCTACTGAGAGAGAGAATTCGAGCAACCAACGAAATCCGCGGCTGCTGGCCCGTGGCACACCAGATTTTGACGAAAAGAGAAAGACGGACATACCAGCTTCACTCCGTGCTGCACTCTCATCTTCGGTTTGTTCGGCAACCAAGACTGTTTTGACCAAATCCAAAAGAACGCCAACAAATCCCAAAGAAGTAACCACAAAGATCTTTTTTGGACAGCTGTTAAATCCAAAACCAAACCGACAAAAAAGAAATCAACAAATCCAAAAAAAACAAAGCCACAAAAATAAATTGGTCTGCAGGTTTTTTCTTGGATCAAACTTTTCAAAAACTGCGATGGCGCGAACAGCGGCAACAGCAATGGCTGCTCGTTGGAAAGCTAGATGGATCCAGCAGGTCGCAGATGTAGATGCAAAATTCCGAAGTCATGGCAACTAGAGCTTGGAAGATGATCGGACGCCCTTCTCCAAAGCAAAGACCCATGAAGAGACCTGCTATTGTAGCATTGCAAGACATGTTTAAGTCCAAAAATGAACTACCTCCCTACACTGATTCTTGCCAGCAAAGTCCACAGCGAAAACGAGGCAGACAAGCAACTTGACTTGGACATAATGTAGTTTAAAGACTTGATGCTTGTGAATGGTGTGGGCCAGAGTCTGTAGGGTTACAGG